CTGTAATAGTTTTATTCTTCGCATGTGTTGGATTTCGACGGGCGTTGGTATTTCGCAGTCGTCTACTTCTAAGTTGTTGAAGGACGTGATGTTGACTTGTGATCCACCACAATCATAAGCTATGAATCCGTTTGTTGTTGTGCAAAGTGTAAGGAATATAAACAGAGAGTCTTTAAGCATGTTGATTATTTGTATCATATAAAAAATAAAGAAAAATGTTTTAAAAAATATCTATATATAAATAAATGAACAAATAATTATGAATAATATAAGGAAATTATCATAGTAATAATGCGGAAGGGAAGAGAGAAAAAAAACCTGTGAATAAAAGTTTATTGATAAGTAAGTATACACAAATTATCGATAATACTATAATAGCTGAGCGTAATAAGATGGTTAAAATGGTTAAAACGTATGCTGCCATATAATTATTGTTATGAGGAGACCTTTCAGATAAACGGTTTATATATATATATATATTATATTATTTATTTATTTATTATTTATTATTATTATATTATATATGTTGTTATATATTTTTATTGTATTATTTGTTATTATTATTTATTTTTTATAATAATAAGTGGAAGGTTATTATTATTATTTTTTTTTTTTTTAAGGTATTCTAATCTACCTACTTTTTCTATCTATTAATGTATGGTTTCATTCTTCTGACATGAATTATGTCATTAGTCGTTTTATTGTTGAGGGTTNTTTATGTGTATATATATATATATATATATGTTATTATATTATATTTTGTTATAGTATTATTTGTTATAATTATTATTATTATTATTATTTTTTTTTTTTTAAACGTATTCTAATCTGCCTACTTTTTCTATCTATCAATGTATGGTTTCATTCTTCTGACATGAATTATGTCATTAGTCGTTTTATTGTTAAGGGTTAATTCAACTTTATAATTTAAATCATTTATTTTGTCTATTATTTTGAAGGGGCCTTTATATTTGGGAGCAAGTTTTTGAGATTTTCCTACCTCATTAAATGGAAATAAGATTAACACTGAGTCTCCAGGTTGAAATTTGATTAAGCGGTGTTTTTTATCGTGTTGTATTTTTTGTGCATTTTGAGCGGTTTTGATTAAATTTGGAATCTTGTCTCTTAATTTGTTTAGTTCTATCAGTGATTTTTTTATGTCATAAGGGATGCTTGTTGGAATTATTTTGTTATCTATTGGAAATAACGTTCAAAACCGTGCATTAAGTAAAAAGGACTGTATTTAGTGCTAGTTTGTGGTGTGGCGTTGTAACTTAACGTGACGTATGGTAAATAATATGACCATCTTGATTGGTTATTAACGTCTATGTAATTTTTTAGAGCATTGTATAATACACCATTTATTTTTTCAACAAATCCTTGCTTTTGTGGGAAGAAACTGGTTTATAATATTTGTTTTATTCCCAAGTTACCGCATACTTAGCTCACTAATTGATTTCTAAAGTGTGCACCTCTATCAGATGAAAGTTGTCGGAAACAGCCCCATCGTGATATTATTTGAAGAATGAAATTTATGGTTGAGTG